AAGTGTGACGACCTGGAAAACCAGGAAGCTCAGGAATGACGACCTGAAACCAGGAAGCTAAAGTGTGACGACCTGGAAAACCAGGAAGTTCAGGAGTGACGACCTGGTAAGTGCGGTTGTCGTCACGATGTGTGACGAGCTGAATCCTGATGAATTTTGACGGGATTTCAGCAAAAAATCTGTACTGCTGAATGAATTGTTACAGTTGAGCCGATCTGGCAAAATGTAATTTTGTAACGATCTGGTAAGTGTGCTCACTATGGCGAGCTGATGTGATGGTACAAGGTGCACGTCAGCAGTGACGATCTGAATCTTGGAATTTTTTGAATTAAGCAGATCTGTGAGGAGATACGGTTGATCTTCCCATATCCCTTTGTCTTCCCCGTCATAAATGCTGGCTCAGCATTTGAGGGACGTGACAGCTAAAGCCGGCGCACGTTATGCAGGAGGGGCGTTAAACGTGTGCCACGTGTAGGACGCGAATTGGCGCGTCAGAAACACGCGTACGGCAATGAACGCTACCATATCCTTCTCTGCATAACCGTTCTCCCTTTTCATTTTCATTTCTGCATTTTGCTTGAACTTTCTATAATTCTCTGAAGCGAAACGTTCCAACTCGAAGAACAGCACATCGAATCGACTTCACATCATTTTCAGGTAAAGATGGTTTCATTGAGGGAACTCACAGAGCAACGAGGTAACCAGGGCAGAGATGGGGAAGAGGAAAGGGTTTTGGCAGTGGAGCCTATCACGATGATAGTGCCGCCGGAGTTGCAGGACGTACCGGAAATAATGGTGTCTGAGAGTAGCACCAGTTCCAGCGCCGGAGATAATGGCGACGGCCACCACGATTCACCGTCCAGCAGCTCGTCTTCTGGGAATCATGAGCCGGAACCGGAGAACGTGGGCGATGTCGAACAGGGTGTGCCCGTGGTTGGGGAATGGGAGAATAGGGTACTTCCGGGCAGACTGAGCAACATACGGAAGGCTCCCAAGGATCTGCCAGCCGGCTTTAAATTCAAGGCGGCGCTTCATCATGAAGTAGCTGACTGCGCGCCCTCAATAAGTGGGTACAGAAGGCTGGAGGAGATGATACAACAGTACCACATCCCAAGGACTATATCGGTGCGAACTGGCGGGCAGAACGAGAGGGCGTGCACCGTATCGCGAACAGGCTGGATCCCTGTGTATGCGGACCACTTTGACGCCGGGCTGCGGTTTCCCCTGCCCGGCCTGGTATTCGACCTGCTGGCGGAGTACGAGCTGACGCTAACGCAGCTAACGCCCAACAGCATAAGGTTCATCATGGGCTTTATGCTGTTGTGCGCGAGATTGGAGGTGCCAGCCAAAGCGATAGTCTTCAGGTCGCTATTCCAGTGCCGGTTGTGCCCGAACTCACAAGGAGCGAGATGGTACTACCTCTCTGGGAGGGATAAGAGCCAATTGTTCAAAAATGTTCGAAACAAAGTGGCGAGATGGAAGAGGCAGTTCATTTTTGTTCGTGACACGCGGACAGAGAGGATAAGCAACGACCTCGCTGCCCGGCTGTCAGAATGGCGAACTCCGAATGCCCACATCAACTACCCCCAGCTGTTGCCCCGGGACGTCGATCTGAAGAACCAGTTGCTTCAGTATGCACAAAGGGAGGGTCTTATAGATCTGGAAGCCCTGGTTACCTCGGAGCATCTCGCCATCGCCGGGTTTGTCGATGTGACAAACCTGTTCAGCGAAGGTATATCTTTATTATGTATAACAATTTCTAGCCGAGCTGAGGCTTATGTATTTGTTTGTGCAGGCGAAATGAGCAGCATACTGGAGCGTCAACGTCAACGTGCCCAGAGTTCCCGAGGCCGCGGGACGGGCAGCTCCGCGCAGAGGCAATCGCGGTTTGACGAGCGACCACCTGCAGCGCCTCAATCACGCAGCTCGTCTCATCGAGGATCCAGCTCGTCCTCTCTACCGCGGGCTTATCAGAGGGTAGAGGTGGCGGCTCCAAGTGCACGCAGGCGTGCGCGTGAGGAGACGGAGGGTGAGGAGGATGAGATCCCGCTCGCCCGGCGTATAAGGAGCGGGAGCACCCAGCCCGCACAGGCGGCTCGCCCTGTGACCGTGCGTTCACCAAACGCACCGTCAGCAACTGTGCGGGCAGCGGCTGAGCCCGCCCCTGCATCAGCTTCAACATCTGGCCCCAGGATTGCTTATCCTGAGGGTTTCAGCTACACACGGGCGGAGTGTCAGCCCGCCATGGTGCAGGCCATGCACGATTTTGTGCCCGCAACAGATAACCGGCGGGCAAAGTCGTTCGTGCAGCAGCATGGCGGCCAGGTAGCCATGATCAAGTTGATGGATGTAAGCATTCGCCAACAAAAATATTTTTTATTATTATTATTATTATATTT